TAGCGGCGGGGACTGTTGTTCGGGGCGAATCGGAGGAGGAAAGCTATGGAACAGGAGAGGATTGCCTTCGAGACCTCATAGGGCGTGGAGTACATCCCAACCTTCCGAGAGATGGACGTCAAATACCCCGTCTTACAGGGGATCTACGATTACGACTTTGCGAAGCCGTCTCCAATCCAGCAGAGGGCTGTTCAGCCCATCCTCTCTGGGGGGAGACGTAATAATCAAGGCTCCGGCTGATGCCGGGAAAACCCATTGATTGCCATGACTGTGTTTGAAATTGTTTAAGTGACGACCAATATCTAATATTAGGTTCTCCCTGTCATGATGATTTTGTATCAATAATTTCGCACAGTCATGGCAATCAATGAGGTTTTGCCGGCACCAGCCAGAGCCTTGATTATTACGTCTCTCCCAGAGAGGATGGGCTGAACGGCCCTCTGCCGGATTGGAGATGGTTTCGCAAAGCTGTAATCATAGATCCCCTGTAAGATGGGGTATTTGACGTCCATCTCTTCAAAGGTTGGGATGGACTCCACGTCCTCTGAGGTCTCGAAGGCAATCCTCTCCTGTTCCATAGCTTTCCTCCTCCGATTCGCCGGAACAACAGCCCCCACCGCTACGGTTGCCATAGTCGCTTTAGGGCAATTGGATGTTTTCAGGATTTGAAAGTCGTGAGAGGCGAACACTGAGTTCGCGCCAATGATATACTGACTCGCCGACCCACTCCCTGTAACTGTGTTAGTTTGCCAACTTTCAAGTTTTTACTACTAGTTTTCAAGCCGGGTAGTACGTAACGTAGTACTCCCTACTTAATGTAGCTAATTTTAAATTTGAATTATTTTCGTGTTCATATATAATGTCACGCAAAAGAAAAATAAACTCAGTCTAATATGAAGTATATTTGATAATACTAAATTTGATCGAATTGACTTATTTTGCTGAAATTGATAAATTATGGCTGAATGAGCGAAATCTCCTGAATCATGATAAATTGAAAAATTACAATATATTTCATTTGTAAAATAAAGAAAAAGTTATATGAAAATAGTTAAAAGGGTCTTCTACATAAGCATTTCAAGTAAACATAAATAATTGTAATGAAGCGGTTTTAAAGAAATCATAATCTCACATCCTCTATATTACCCTATTATGCACATCAAGTTTTTTCTCTAATATTTCTTTATTCAACTTGGTATGAAATATTAAATACATTCTTTCAACTTTTAATGATAAGATGTTGCATTTTACTCATTATTCCATCACATTGTAATTGAAATAAAGTTGAGTTTTTTTTTTAAAATTTTACTCATTATTTCGTTACATTGAAAATGATTTTTAATTGTTATGAATGTAAAAAATTGTTACAAGTCAAAGTTGACAGGAAAAGTCAAAGTTGACTAAATAAAAAGGGACAAAAGTATTATTACAATGTAAAACCTTGCTCGTACATTTTAGGAAATGGGATACTATTATTACATTTTTTTTTATAAAATAATTTTGAAGACAAAATTAATAGCAATTTGGCTGGATTTTTCTGTTAAGTGGGCAAAAAACGGATACTTCACTTCTTCAACAGATAGTAATAAAAAATTATTAATATAATTAATGATTGTTACTCCGTGAGTCTGTGCTTAAAATTTGGTTATTAATTATTGTGGTTCCTAATCTTCCGATTACTAGATTTAATATTTATCAAATATGTAATAGATTTTGAAAAAGATACCAAATTAAATAAGGTGGATTTCTATGGTCTTTTGTTTCTTTATCAATATGCAATCAAAAATAGAATCTAATAAAAATAAAAGGTATAAAAATAACTAAGGGAAAATCGCACATTTGACCCCCTAATTATCCACCATATTGAAATCTCAAACTCGTGTTTCAGGTTTTCTAAATTTCACCCCGAGTTGTCCGAATAATTATTAATGTCACCCCTGCCGTTATAAATATTGTAAACTCCGTCTGTTTTTGATTTTTTCCAGGGTTATAATTGTCTATTCCCAATCCTTTTCGTTTAAAGCCCTAATTCGAAGCCCTGGTTGTCCTAGGCTCCGCTAGCGAAGAGTTTTCCGTTAGAGGAGCCGTGGGCGGAGAAGGGCGGGTGGGAGAACTTGGTGGGCTCGGCAGGGACGGAGTCAAGATGCGAATTGAAGAGGATTAAGGGAAGCGAAGTATGGATGGACTCGGGCCGGGTGGCCCGAACCGGAACCGGCCCGGGACCGGTACTGTTCCGGCCCGACCCGGTGGCCCGGTCAGTGACCGGTCCGGGTAGGCCTGACCCGTGGGTTTTCCGGTCCGGGCTCGGGTCACCCAAAACAAGGCCCGACCCGGGCCCGGTTCGGGCCAAAACTATTTTTTTTTTCAATTTTTTTTAAATTTTCGGGTTGGGGTGGGTATTTTGGGCCATTTGGGGTGGTTTGGGGGTTGGGGGTGGGAGGGGGTTAATTAGGAAGAGGGAAAAAAATTGATAATGGGCCCGGCCCGGACCCGGACCGCACCCGGTGGTTACCCGGGCCGGTCCCGGGTCCACCACTCCTGAACCGTCGGCCCGCCCGGGCCTAGGCCCGACCCGGACCTGGCCTGGACCCGAGTCCATCCCTAAAGTGAAGGGTTGGAGCCAGGTCAGGTGAGTAGAAGTAGGGGTTTGTTTGGGGTTGGGAAGTGAAATACAGAAGCTGGGATCGGAGGCCGGGGATGGAGCCGACGAAGGCGGTGAGGAAATTGACAGCGAAGGGGTAGTCAGGGTTGGGATGGGGAAATGACAATTTTAACTCTGAAAAAAATGAAAAATAGACAGAGTTTACAATATTTATAACGGCAGGGGTGACATTTATAATTATTCGGACAACTCGGGGGTGAAATTTAGAAAACCTGAAACATGGGTTTGGGATTTCAATATGGTGGATAATTGGGGGGTCAAATGTGCGATTTTCCCAATAACTAAATAATTGTTATATATGATGACATGGCAGGATTATGTGGCGCTTTGTATGCTCTTAAAAAATTCCTCTTACATATATATATATATATATATATATATATATATATATATATATATATATATATATATATATATATAGGGAGCGGATCAGGTGAGAAGTGTTCTTAGGCTGAGAACTGCGAAGTTAAACTTATAGACTTAAAATAGGAACTTTTAACCAATAAATCATAACTTATAATCTTATAGACCCCTCGAAAATAATTACGAAAATGCCACCGCAAAAAAATAATTACGGAAACCTGGGAAAAAATTTGACGTGGTGGCATTTTCGTAATTATTATGAAGATCTTTATAAGTTATGATTTATTGGTTATAATTTCCTATATTTAGTCTATAAGTTTAATGCGTTGTAAGATCAGATGCAAATCCAAGGACTAAGATTACTTCTGGCACTTCTCACCTAATCTTTTCCCTATATATATATTCTTATTTGAACCAAAACATATATATATATATATATATATATATATAATAAGGATCAAATGAGAAGAGTGCTTATCGTAAGAAGTGAGAATGCATCTGGTGCGTTCATTTTAAGATCTGTGCATCAGATTAGCAAAAAAGTGCACGAGAAAGTGCAAAACATATTAAAAAAGTGATGCTAGACGCGGTGGCATATCCATAATTAATCGGAACTTTTCTGCCATCGCAAAAAGTGCATCAGATTAGCGAAAAAGTGCATCAGAAAGATGCAAATGTGAAGCTTCCCACTTCTCACGTTAAGATGTCTTCTTATTAGAATCCAACCCTATATATATATATATATATATATATATATATATATATATATATATATATATATATATATATATATATATATATATATATATATATATATAGAAGATAAACTTTTTTATGATAAAGATTTTAATTTGTTGATAATCTAAAACTCAACAATTTTATTATTATCATCTGAAAAGAATGTACAAGTGTTGATACTGTCACCAACAAGGGAGCTTGCATCACAAACCGAGAACCTAATATTAGATATTGGTCGTCACTTAAACATTCAGGCGCATGCATGTGTTGGAGGCAAAAGTGTAGGTGGGGACATAAACAAATTAGAGCATGGTGTACATGTTGTTATCGGAACTCCTAGAAGAGTATGGGACATGATCACAAGAAAAACCTTACAGCCCAGAGCAATAAAGCTATTGATTTTGGTAAGTTCAGTGGCTCTATTGTATATGAGCGTAGAGAATCCTTTCGTTTCCTGGGTTTATGTTTTTGAAGTCATGGCTTACTTTTCTATGGAACAAGTTTTGACATAATACATTGTATTTTGATTATAAAATAATCCTTGGGCCTTTTTAGGATGAATCTGATGAAATGTTGAGCCGCGGTTTCAGGGGTCAGATTTCTGCTGTTTATAACAAACTTACACCAGAGCTTCAGGTTAGCTAAGTATCTCTTCTTTTTCTCTACATTCACTCTATCTTTCTCCATGCTTTCACAAATGCATGCTCTAAAGAGGCTCTAGTAGTCTACATCCTTCATTTCTCTCTTTGGTGTTCATTAAGTGTTGTGTTTATGACATACTCATGAGATTACTTTGGTTGGGTATGACATGAATTTCAAATTGCATGTATAATTAAAGTACATCATACTTTTCTTTAATGTTAATAATAAATTGAAAATTAAAGTTCTTATTTATAGTTTATGTATACCTTCTTGTGGCATCCCTAAACAAAATGCTCATTCCTTATGTGGTAAAGAAAATCATAGTAATTTACTTTCCTACCCTCAAGCAACAGTGATTATATATTGTCAAACAGTACACTGCAGTAATATTTATACACAGTTAAAAGGGCACTTCTGGAATTCAAAAAACAAAAGAATCTAATTTCTTTAAACTATGTGAAGGTTAAACTCAGAAGTTCTTTAAGGGATGGAGATAGCATGTTTTCGAAATGCCCTAGTGTGTACTGTGGGGCAATTCCTGCTATAGTACATGAAGTAACACATATCTTGTCATATTTCACTTGATTACTTGCAGGTTGTATTGATTTCTGCCACACTTCCAAATGAGATTCTTGAGGTAACAAGCAAGTTTATGACAGATCCTGTTCGTATACTCGTAAAACGTGACGAGTTGACACTAGAGGCATGTATTCATTTGATCCACAGCTACTTTGTTCAAGAGATGTTGAATATCTACCCTAAAGAACTAAACACATCTTCATTTTTCTTTTCATTACAGGGCATCAAACAGTTTTTTGTTGCTGTTGAGAAAGAAGAGTGGAAATTTGATACATTGTGTGATCTTTATGATACCCTAACCATCACCCAAGCTGTAATCTTCTGCAACACAAAACGGAAGGTAACACAGTTGCAAGTTCTGTTAGTTCATTTTTCTTTGAATCTGGGAATGCTACTGCATGTTTTGAATTTATTTTTTGTTTTCAAGTACTTTTGGAGTTGCAAGATGTATATTATGAGTGTTCACAGAATCTACAAAAGAACATTTAAAGATTTAAATAAATCTTGATACTATGTTGACTGTTGAGGGTGCATGTTAGCCAGCTACAATGCTGAGAGCGTATAATGGTCAAATTAGTAATGAAGCTTCAAATCAGTATCAATTCAAACCTCCCTTGAGCAATGCTTGGAATGTTAGTGTTACAAACTTGAGCATAGCAGTAATTTAGAACCTATAACATGTTCAAAATCTGCAGGGAGGTCATCATAGCAGTTCAGGTCGTAACAAAAATGAGTACAATAGCATTTACAAACAAGCAAAACTGAAATAGGAAATGCTGCAGTTTATGTAGCTTCTCCATAGCTAGTTTTTAACTCACAATGAGATCAAGAATTGTATAGTACTTTAAAACAGAGCTTCTCTGATAATCATTACTTCTTCTGACCAATATGTTTGTTCGTGCTTTCTGTTTTGGGCTGTCCCATAATGTATATCCTATTCCATTTTTTGTGCACAATTAGTGGCTCACTTTCACCCTTCTACAAAATCTGTGCCCCACCATACAACTCTATTTTTCCTTAAATTGTCTCAAACCTCATGTCCCCCTCTTAATGGGACGAAGATAACAAATTTTGAGCATGAATCAAATTATCATCATATTATATTATGGCAGGTGGATTGGTTGACCAGCAAGATGCGTGAGAATAACTTCACAGTGTCTTCTATGCATGGAGATATGCCTCAAAAGGAACGGGATGCTATAATGGCAGAGTTTAGGTCAGGCACAACTCATGAGATTACTTTGGCTGGTTCTGACATGAATTTCAAATTGCATGTATAATTAAAGTACATCTTACTTTTCGTTAATGTTAATAATACATTGAAAATTAAAGTTTATATTTAAAGTTTCTGTATACCTTCTCGTGGCATCCCTAAACAAAATGCTCATTCCTTATGTGGTAAAGAAATTCACATCAATTCACTTTACTACCCTCAAAGTAACGGCGATTGTATATTGTCAAACAGTACACTCTGCAATAATATTTATACATAGTAAAAGGGGCACTTCTGGAATTTAAAAAACAAAAGAATCGAATTTCATTAATCTATGTGAAGGTCAAACTCAGAAGTTCTTTAATGGATGGAGATAGCATAGCTTCGAATTGCCCTAGTGTGTATTGTGCTGCAATTCCTGCTATAGTACATGAAGTAACACATATCTTGGCATATTTAACTTGATTACTTGCAGTTTGTATTGATTTCTGCCACACTTCCACCAAATAAGATTCTTGAGATACAAAGAAAACTTATGAAAGATCATGTTCGTATACTCATAAAACATGATGAGACACTAGAGGCATGTATCCATTTGATCGACAGCTACTTTGTTCAAGAGGCGTTGAATATCTGCCCTAAAAAACTAAATGTGACTTCATTTTTCTTTTCATTACATGGCACCAAACAGTTTTTTGTTGATGTTGAGAAAGAAGAGTGGAAATTTGATACACTGTGTGATCTTTATGGGACCCTGATCATCACCCGTGCTGTAATTTTTTGCAACACAAAACGGAAGGTAATACAGTTCCAAGTTCTTTTAGTTCATTTTTCTTTGAATCTAGGAACGCTTCTGCATGTTTTTTATTCATTTTTTGTTTTCAAATACTTTTGGAGTTTCAGGATGTATCTATAATGAGTGTTCAGAGAATCTACATAAGAACATTTAAAGATGAAACAAATCTTGATACTATGTTGAGGGTGTATGTTAGCCAGCTACAATGCTGAGAGCGTATAATGATCAAACTAGTAACAAAGCTTCAAATCAATATCAACTCAAACCCACCTTACGGCCTTACACAATGTTTGAAATATTAGTGTTACAACTTGAGCATTGCAGTAATTAAGAACATATAACACATTCCAAATCTGAAGAGAGGTCATTATAGCAGTTCAGGTCTTAACAAGAATGAGTACAATAGCATTTACAAGCAAACAAATCTGAAATAGGAAATGCTGCAGTTCATGTAGCTTCTCCATAGCTAGTTTTTTAACTCACAATGAGTTCAAGAATTGTGGCTCACTTTCATCCTTCTACAAAATCTGTGCCCCACCACACAACTCTATTTTTCCTTACAATTTGTCTCAAACCTCATGCCCCCCCGCTTAATGGACGAAGGTAACAAATTTTGAGCATGAATCAAATTATTATCATATAGTATATTATGGCAGGTGGATTGGTTGACCAGGAAGATGCGTGAGAATGGCTTCAGTGTCTTATATGCATGGGGGTATGCCCCAAAAGAAACGGGATGCTATGATGGCAAAGTTTAGGTCAGGCAAAGCTCGAGTCCTCATTAAAACAAACGTTTGGCCTAGAGGGCTGGATGTTCAACAGGCACGTTCCTTTTCAGCTTGCATTCAAATATTGATGTCTTCACTATTTTTTCCATGTTACACATCTTTTACATGAACTGAAAATCTACACATGTAATTCAACAAGTAAATGAATGATGTATAGAACTAGAGCTTAAGTGAGAATTAGGATGCAAGAAAAAGAATGCCTGACTTGAATGCTTAGTTGCAAACCAACTATCTAATTGCTTATTTATGTGAGCAAGTTATCTAGAATGTTACTACCTTCGTCCCAGAATTATCTCCTTTGACTGGGCACGGGTTTTAAGATAGTGGAAAATGTGTGGTGGAGAGTTGTGCAGAGGAAAGAGAAATGTGTAAGAATGGTTGTGAACCACAAATTCTTTGCCAAAAAAGGAAAGAGGAGATAAATTTGGGACAGACCGAAAAGGAAAGAATGAAGATAATTTTGAGACGGAGGGAGTAATAAATATGGCATTCCCGAAATGATCAGTGGCAGTAATTGATAAGATGAGTCTTCTGCTTTTGAACTGTTGCAACTGCATCAGACGATGTTCTAAACTATCTCTTGACCCAAACTGAAATACTTAATTTTGCCTTAGTGAGTATATGATGCAAGTCAAAAGGTTATGCATTCTTATATAAACTCATTTAAATTCCCGTCTATGTAAGGTGTATATCATTCTAATGCGTGGTGTATCCTGCCTTATTCAGGTTTCCTTGGTTATTAACTATGACCTTCCAAACAATCGAGATTGCATTGGTCGTTCTGGTCGTTTTGGTCACAAGGTGCCTTTTGTCATACTCACTTTTTACACTGTAGCATGAGTTTCTTTCAAACTCGTGTTAACTGCGTCCTTGGCAAAAAATAATGATGTAGTGAGCAACACTTAATATGAATCAATGTTTCGTGGAGAAATTAAGGCTAGGCAAGAGAAATGTCTTGCATCTCGTTTGTTGATATCATTTTTTTTATGTATTTCATTGCAGGGTACTCTTGCAATACATTTTGTAAAAACTGATGACATCAACATTCTGAGAGATACGGAGCAATATTACGGAAAAAAATTCATAAATTGCCGGAGGAATGTGCTAATCTGATCTGATTGGTTTATGTTATGTACAACCGTAGTTGGTTGTTGGTTGTTGGGATTTGGTTATTACGATTTTTTTAAGACAAAGTTTAGAAGCTGTACGTATGCTAATGGTGATTACGCTTTAGTGTAGGGTTTGAATAATGTTGAGTGTAATTAGACCTTACTGTTGCAGTTCTTTCTCGCATGTAGGGATGGGCCCAGAATCGGCCCGGGTAGCTGGCGATTCCGCATCAGTTCGGGCTACCTGTCCGGTTACCGAGTCGGGCCGGGCTACCTCCATGCATAAAAATACAAAGAAATCAGACCAAATCACCAGACCAGACAAGATCAGACCAAACCAGACCAAACTAGTTCAGATCAAAATAAGTTCAGACCATACCAAATCAGATCAGACCAAACGAGACCAGGCCAACAAATTACTGTCTAATTAAAAACATGCTAAGTTACTTTCTCATGAATGAGTACTTCGTATCTGGTACGCTATGAAGCACAGATACTTCACTAGGGTGTCGTATTGGCGTATCGGAAATATTCCTGTATCCGATGCTCTAAGATACCCGTACCGTACGTTTTCGGGCCATATCTTCAATTTTTAAATGTTTCCATTTTTTGGTAATTATTTTGAAATTTCAGATACTCGTATTCCTGATGGATACCCGTATCAACTTTTTAAAAAAAACTTCCAAAAAAACGTTAAAAAACTCAAAATTTACATAATAAAATTCTTAAAATATGATAATCTAAAAATAATCTTTACCATGCTTTTATGTGGTACACAACAAATGAGCTTATTCCTAATTCACCCATCATCTTATTCCTAATTCTAATTATCCATGGAAATTAAAAGCTATAACGGAAACATGTATTGGAACTTTTGAAATATTGTTTTCTATCTTTATTATTCTAGAACTTTGAGTACTTCCACATTTAATTTCAAAATTTTAGTTGTTTGACTTATTTCTCATTTTAAATTAATGACTGATTGACTATATTGATATTTCGAGGTGCACTAGTGTATTTGAGATAAAATATGAACTTATTTGTAAGTATCTTGATTCTTGAAAATGTAAAATGCTTTAATGCCATGAATGAGTAGACGTCAGAGGATAATATGTGTCTATTTTTATATAAAAAAATGTATTTTTAATATTTATAAATATACCCCTATAAATTTTAATATTTAGAAATACATTTTCATAACTTTTACGGAGTCATATTTATAATTATGACCTTGTATCCGTATCCTACTTTTTTGGTTTTGTCGTATCCCGTACCTGTTACCGCGTTTGGTGCTACATAGCCGGTACGTACTAGGGAGTCAAACTTGACAAGAGACTAGTCACGAGGCGGGGCCGTAGGGGATCGAAAAGACAAGGGAATTTTTCAGAAATAGATTAAAAAGTGAAAGAAATATCAGTTTTGTCACCTTCCGAACATTATTTCAAAAACAGTTCAGACAACTTTTTCATTTCACTAATAGACATTACGGAATACGGAGTATAACATATCACTAGTATCAAGTAAGCTCATTAGTATCTACTCCACTCTCGAAGGTACTTATTCCCTAGAAGGCTAGAAGCCTAGATAGGTTGTCAAAAGGGAACTCTGCAACGTTTATGAGCATATCACTAAATTTATTCAATTTTGAATCATGTAAATCAAAAAATAATTTTTTTTCAAAATGAAAAGGTGAAAACCTGTAAAATTTATAAATCGGAAATAATTTAGATATAGAAAATTATAATCATACAAACTAACATAAAATGAATTTTTAAAACTTACATAAAAATAATTTAGCTAGTAGTATAAAAATAAATAAAACTTTTTAAAATACTGTAAAGGCTTTAAAATAAAAAGTTCCAAAATATCCTGAAAACGGAAATATGTAAAAACGTAGTACAACTTTTTAAAAAAATAACAAAAATATAAATAATGCAAGATAATAAAAATGTATAAATTATAGAAAATATCTAAATAAGAGAAAATGCAAGCTTATTTTAAAGAATCTAAAAAAATTGAACTTCAAAATAAATATTATAAAAAATAACGAATGTAAAGACTAATAATTTGGAGAGTTAAGTAATCTAAAATCTTAGAAAATATGGAAAATATATAAAATGAACTGTAGAAATGAAATTCTAAAAATGTAAAAAATAATCAGAATTCTATATGAAAAATACATTTTAAATGTTAAATAAATCTAAAAATTAAAAAAATACAAAAAGTCATAAACAATAAAAAAATATAGAAAATTAATATATTCAAAACAAAAATGTGAAAAAACATAGGAAATTGCTAAAAATAATAGTGACGTAAAAATTACAAAA